TAGTGTCAAACTAAGAAGACTAAAAGTCTAACCCAATCGACCAAATATTTAAACTTGGTAAATAAGTATACAAAGACAGAAATGCCCCTGTCTAGACAGAAGGCATATAACTAATACATTACATAGATGGAAAAGACTGAAATACCCCTGTTTAGTCAACTCTAACAAAGATATTTTTAAAAGAAAAATAAAATTGTAAAATTATTTGTTTAGGGATTAAGAATTTTAAGACCCTAACATGGGCTTCTTTGGGCTTGCCTCAAGGGGCTTGGTATAATGGCGGTTTGTAGAATCAAGAATGAAAGATGTAGCATCACATTAACTATTTGAAATAATGCAATTGAGAAAGAAATRAAGAAATTAAAAGTTTGACATGCTTGAATATGTTTTRTATGCTATTTTATTTTATTTTTTYATTTTTCACTTTGAATATGTTTTATATGCTATGTTTATGTATTTAAATTTGAGCTAAAAGACTCATCACATTAACTATTTGAAATAATGTAATTGAGAAAGAAATAAAGAAATTAAAGTTTGGCATGCTTGAATATGTTTTATATGCTATTTTATTTTATTTTTTCATTTTTCACTTTGAATATGTTTTATATGCTATGTTTATGTATTTAAATTTGAGCTAAAAGACTTTTTTAAAACAATTAGTTTAAAATTAAAGTGAATTTTTTAATTAATACTATTTTTAATATTTCTTAATTTATTTTGAATTTTTTTACTTGTTTTTGCAATTTTTTCTTTTCTTTTATTTTGTGACTTGCTTCAAAAAGGCGTGCCCCTCGGATACAAAATGACCTTTTGTGCTTTTATTGCGCCTAACACTTTTAAAACACTATGATTAATATAAAATATTAGAGATGCACCCAATTGTTTATTACAAAATTCATGTATTTTTGTAATTTTTTGTGTTTTATCCTTTTTATTGTTTATTATAATTATGACATTAAGGGTTGACACATTTAACCTAAAAGGTTGAACTGTTGACATGCCACCAAATAGGAAAACAATTTCACTTTTGGGTTAGTTTTAAATTTTGTATTATTCATTTCCATTATTAATAAAAATAATTCTTGTTTATCACACTTATTTTTCTTTAATATGATTAGTATAAAACATTAGAGATGTACCTAAACTTTTTTTCTAAAAAATCATTTTTCCTTTTTTTTGTTTTATCTTTTTTAATTTGTATTATTTAATTATGATATCAAGGGTTGACACATTTGACTTGAAAGGTTGAACTGTTGACCCGCCACCAAATAGGAAAACTATTTCATATTTAGGTCAGTTTCAAATTTTGTATTTCATTTCCATCATCAATAAAAATAATTATTATTTATCACACTTATTTTTTAATATGATTAATATAAAATATTATAGACGTGCCCAATTTTTTCTTCAGTTTTTTTATTTTAAAAGTCTAATTATTTAACTATGACATCATGGGTAGACCCATTTGATGGTTAAATTGCTTACCAACCATCAAGACGAAAAAAATTGTTCATTTTTTGTCGATTTAAAAAAACATGGTTTTCGAACCGTTGTTGACCCGAATAGTCAAACCATTTGGACAAAAAAACAGTTAGGAGACTGGTTCTGTTTTACCCCAAACCACTTTTTGCCCAAAAACCAGTGACTTGGTCAACAACACACTGACTCGGGTGGTCAAACCATTGGCCCATTCGACACAAACAACGGTTTTTGGGTGGTTTTTTATTCTTTTTTTAAATTGTCATAGGCCAGTCCATTCGAAGCAAACGGTTGAACCAATGACCCAAAAACCGGTGGCCAAAGCAATTCTAGTTCCAACCCGTTCCTATTCTTTTTATTTTTAATAAAATTTTCATTTTACCTTTCAAAAAAAAGAAATACACTAACAGAGTAATTGTAAAATAACACTCCCCCTCAAGTTCAGTTGAATATGTCAATCGTGCCTGTGAATAAACCCTAGTTGATTCTAGGTCAAAGTAGAGAAGAAGAAAGAAGAAAGAAAAGAGAAAGAAGAAGAAGAAGGAGAGGAGAAGAGTGTTCGGCCAGACTAGAAGAGAGAATGTTTCAAATCTCTCTCCTAGCCGACCCACTTGACTTTTATTCATAAAACTTGAGTTACAAGAAAGACAATTTTGTCCCTCATAGAAGATGGGATACATAACCTAAACTCAGATACAATAGACCTTTTACTTTCAAGAAGATACACCAGAATGACCAAAATACCCCTGACTCGAGCATTCTAACAGTGCCCAACTTGTCACATAGTTCATTGTGCCACAAACATTGAAACCCCTGTATGAGAACAACAGCAAGTTGCTCCTTGGAACGAACATAAGGAGGGTAGATTTCATCCTTCTCAAGCTTCTCTCTTATAAAGTGTTTGTCTACTTCAATATGCTTTGTCCTGTCATGAAGGACATGATCAGTTGCAATGCTTATGGCTGCTTTCTTGTCACAATAGAGAGACATAGGCCTATCAACATTAAACCCAATCTCCCCTAACAAGTTTTTTATCCAAAGTACTTCATCCACCCCATGTGCCTTAGCCCTATACTCAGCATCAGCACTTGATCTTGCAACTACACTTTGTTTCCTACTCGACCACATCACCAAGTTTCCAATCACAAAGGTACAGCACCCACTGGTGGGTTTCATATCATCCATAGCACCTACCCAGTCCGCATTTGTATAAGCCTCCACCTTTAGGTGGTGGTGCTTTCTGAAAAGCAAACTAGCTCTTGGATACTTCTTCAAATACCTCTGATACTTTAGGGGAATGCATAAAGTGGCTTAGAACCCCAACAGCATAAGCAATACCAGGGCATGTCATACAAAGGTACAGCAGTCTCTCCGCTAACCTCTGAAACTATTTCACATCCTTCAAAGGGATATCAATTGGCTTTACACCTAGTTTGCTTGTGTCTCACAAGAGACCCAAGGTGTATTTCCTTTGAGAAACAAAGAAACCTTTTCATGAGTGGGCAACCTTGATTCCAAGGAAATACCATAGGGGTCCTAGATCTTTCACTTCAAATTGAGTGGCCAAAAACTCCTTCAATTTCTGTATCTCAAAGCCCCAATAACCTATGATGATGATGATGTCATCTACATAAACTATCAGCACTACAACCTGTCCTTGACACCTCCTAACAAAGAAGGTGTGATCAGACTAGCAGTGTTTGAACCCTACTTACTGAACTGCCACATGGAACCAGCTAAACCAAGCTCTAGGAGATTGTTTTAAGCCGTAAAGGATTCCTTCAACAGTTCAACCTACACACCTTGTCTTCACTGCCTTTGGCACAAAACCCAGTGCCTAATAGGGGTGCAACTTGGGCGGGCCCAGCCCAAAATTTTACACGGGCTGGGCTCGAGCCCAAGAAGTCAGGCTTTTTTATTTTTCAGGCTTGGCCCTTAGGTAGCCCAAACCCGGCCCAACTATACACATTCATACATACATATGCATATATATGTAAATTTTGCAAACATACTTACATATATACATGTTTGTGCGTGTGTGTGTGTGTATATACACGTTTGTATACATATTTAGTTATTTACCTATATAAATACATATTTTGCAAACATGTTTACATACATACATAAATATAGGTATGCATATTTGCATAAATACATATATACGTATAATTTTAGAGTGGATTCATTGACCCACCCGAGCCCGGCCCAGGCCTGAGCCCAACCCAAGTGCATCAAGTTATAGTGTGGGCTAGGCTCAGGTTGGGAAGACCAGACTTGACCTCAAGCTCGGTCCAGCCTCGGGCCTTAAGCCCATATTTTAGGGTCGGGCCCAGGTTGACCATAAACCTGGCCCCAGCCTACCCGACTTGCACCTCTAGTGCCTAAACCATATATACTTCCTCTTCCAAATCACCATTCACAAGAAAAAGTCAATCAAATTGCTAAAACACCAAAACACTTGCCAGAATACCAACAACTAGCACTTCACAGCCCCAGAAACTCAATTTCTGATGACTATCTGTCCACACACCACTCGTGGCAATAGGGAACTGCACATACCTACTGGAAGGAGTCACACAACCCCTTTACAACACATGTAAGAAAGCACACACCTACCTCCAAAAAAAACCCTATTTTACAGCATCGAACTGTCACCAAACATTCTCTTTGGTGTTACAACCAAGGGAGAAACAAAAAAAGAAGAAAAAACTGTTGGTCTGACCAGGCTGATCAAGAATTCTCTTCTTCACAGTCCAAAAACGGGAAATTCTGGAAAGGAAAAGACGGTGAATGTTTCCACCACCCAGAACCCTGCTCTGATACCATGTTTTCACCAAAGAAAAAGTAGAAAATTAAGAGGAGAAGGAGAAGAGAAGAAAGAGTTTATAGAGCCAAAAGAATGGGTGGGCAGCGCCCTCTACTTTATTTATAATAGGGTGACAAAGTAAAAGGAATAAAATTACAGTAGTGCCCCTGGTGGCACACTAATAAAAAATAATCAAGGTAGCTGACAGCATACTAACAATAAACTAAGAACAACTAGATACAGGCAAATGAATGTTATAACATGTCCAGGATTTATTTAGTTCATGCTACAAATCCCTGGCATACCAAAGGGAAGCTAGATTGTTTGTATAATATTTATGAGAAACACACAATTAACCCCCTAACAGAGAACCGGAAAGGAATCAAGCATGCAAAATTAGAAAGACATTAGCAGGAAACATAGAAGCATGGTAAGGAAATTGCAGCGTATATTACTATGATATCACTGAAATAATGACAGAAGTATCATGAAACTGATCAAACAAAGCTAGTGAAGGTTATATTGAAGTTTTTAATAAACATCAAGCAAAGAAAATAGACAATTCCAGAATATATGCAGTCAAAGTATTTAAGCTACAAAAAACCTAAAAGAATTAAAACTAAACAAGGGCCAAGTTTTTTTAATGCACTGACAAGAGTATTTCTACTAAAATTGTGGAATTTTATTGATATATATAGAGTATAGAAGCACTTACCTTTTGTAACTTAAGTGGAGCTGTATTAAGCCAGTCAAGTTTTGAGGGAAACTCTGGAACAACAGCAGTTGCCCCTCTTTCATATTGAAGGTTAGCACATATAGAATCAACTGATTAGTGATGAAATATTAAAAAAGAAAAGGGAGAAAAAAGAATTGATACTTACAAACTGTTTAGTTTGATCTAATGTAATAAAGTTCAGTATTCTTTTCTAGGAATGTAATAAAGTTGATTTCCAAGTCTAGCATAAAAGCTGTTCAAACTATGGGTTTGAGTTACCTGGCTTCAACATCCGATATATAATTCACAAACTGTTTGATTCTTGCAGGGTGGGATTCTCCTATCAGGAATAATAGGCCTGTCGGTTATGTTTTTGCCAAAACCATGAAAGCATGAAAGGGGGGTAAGGGTAAATGCATCCAAAAGGCCACAAGTTTCTTCATGATTTTGCAAAGACATCATTGAAACAAGTATTGTTACCTTCATTCTGTTCAAATGTAGGACCACTGACACCAAACAATAAATTCATAATAGCCTTTGGAGATGCATACTGCATTGCCTGCACAAGCATATCACTTCCAAATTTATCAAATACAAGAGAATAAGTACAACATCATAAGAAGCCTCCTTGCTCTTAGAATCATAGTGTAATATGCAACAAAAAGTTGATATCAAGAAAAAAAAATTAAAAATACAACCATTATATAAGGAATGTATATTTGTTTCCTTTTTAATCAGCTAATAGCCTAGCAGCTGCACTAGCCAGGTAAGGGATTGATAAATGGGTGCTGTTTTGGAGAGTCATTTTCCCAAAGAATCATGTAAACTGAAAACTTGTAAAAGGAGATACTTAAACCTAAAATTCTTTGAGAGGTGCTCTTGGCACACTTTGTACTATAGTCCATTCTTTTCCAAAATTAATAAAGATTACCGTTACCAATAAAAATTCAACCAAAATATAAGGAAGGTAAAATTGTTTCCCTCTTTAATCAGTTATACCTTCCAATTTGTGACTGTGAAGAAGAGACAAGAGATGGCAATTCCCAGACTTCCATATCTTAAAATATCTCGGCGAGAACCCTGCAACCTGTCAATAATTATTTCTGCAACTTCAAAGTCAGATTTATTGTCTGACCGACTCAAGAATGATAATTCAACCCAAAAGTATATGCATGTATATAGGGGTGTCAATGGACCGGATTCGGGTTGGACCCCATCCAGTACAAATGTATTTTGAACGGGTTGGACTGTCCAAAAGATTATATGGACTCAGACCAGTCCAAATATAAATGGTTTGTACATAGTGGACTGAATTTGGACAAACTGATTGGTTCAGTAGTCCAGAGTCATTAAATATGCGAATCACAGCAGTTTGGACAAGTTTAATATAAAACCACTTTTATAAAAACACTCCAAAGTACTTTTACAAAATCACTTTTATGAAAGTATTTTTATAAAATCACTTTTGTGGAAGCATTTTTATGAAAGCACTTTTACGAAATTATTTTTATAAAAGCATTTTTACAGAAGTGCTTTTATGAAAGTATTTTTATAAAAGTACTTTCACAAAAGTACCTTTGTGAAAGTACTTTTTATGAAATTACTTCTACAAAAACACTTTTATGAAAGCACTTTTATAAAAGTACTTCTACAAAAGCACTTTTGTGAAAGTACTTTTACATGAAAGCACTTTTACGAAAGCACTTTTATTAAAGCACTTTTACGAAATCACTTTTATGAAAGTACTTTTACACGAAATCACTTCTATGAAAGTACTTTTACGAAAGCACTTTTATCGAAGTACTTTTATTCATTCAGTTAGGATTGGATTGGTCCCAATCCAGTCTGTTTACATTTTAATTGGATTGGATTGGATTGTAGTAGGTGCTGTAGTTTTTTATATATTTTTTTGGATTTCTCATGTTATTTTGGTGTTTGATTCAATTTGGATTGGTTGGACCCAATCCGATCCATTTGCATTTTAATTGGATTGGATTGGATTGTAGGAGGTGTAGCAGTTTTTTATGGTATTTTTTTTTTTGATTTCTCATGTTATTTTGGTGTTTGATTCAATTTGGATTGGATTGGACCCAATCCGGTTCATTTGCATTCTATTTGAACTGGATTGGACTTGGTTTGTATGGATTTGGACTGGATTTGGTCCAGTCCATTTGTAAATGGACCAATATTGAACTGGACCAGATTGGACCAAATCCAGTCCAATTGACAGCCTTACATGCAATATATGTCTCTATGTATGTTATTTATAAGGTATGCATGAAACAAAAGTAGCGTAGTATGGTGACAAGCATGCAGTTGGTAGATGGTAAACAGGCTCATAAAAGAAGCCACATGGTATAAATCAAGTCTCTTGTGGAACATTGAACTTTTTTATTTAAACTGTTACCACATAGTTCAACAAGAAGAAAAACAGCACAATGATGTAAAATTCTATTGAGCTGGTAATTATATTTGGTAATATCATCATATAAATGTTAAAGAATTAGTTTTTCTACTATTATCATCTCTTGCTTCTTACCATTTCAGTGATAATAACCAAATTGAACCACTAATTTCCTTCTTTTTTTTTTGATCAGTAAAAAGATATTTCATTAATGAAAAGAAATTACAAGGGTTACAGTTTATGAGTAGCCTAGGCTACCCCACTACAATGTGATGTATCCACTATTAAATTGATTTTTCACTCTTACAGTTGAGCCCAGAAACAGTGATCCCTGTTCACCCCTTGTTTGGCTAGCTGGTCTGCAAATCCATTTGCTGCTCTATGGGTCCACTGAATTGAAAGCTGCATGTCCTTGGATAGATTTTTAATCTTCTTGATGTCATTTCTGAATATCCAGGGTGTGCTGTCATGTTGTTTTAGCCAACTGATGATAACTTTGGAATCCCCTTCCACAACCAGCCTTTCCACCCCCATCTCCTTAGCTTTTTGTATCCCATATACCATTGCCTTTAGTTCAACTGTAATGAAATTTCCAATTCCAATGGGACCCGAATACAGCTCCAACACATTTCCTCTTTCATTTCTTATAACCCCTCCAATTCCAGATCTACCTGAGTTTCCAAAACTGCTGCCATCAATTTCCTTCTTAGAGATGAAGCCCAGGTTTAAGAATACCAGATGCCATCAGAAATCACAAGGAGCACAAAATTAAGAAGAATCTAATTATCCTTTATGATTTCCAGTCAAACCTTAATCGCCATATATCTATCTACAAGAATTGCACTTAGAATAACCCGCCATCTAAGTTCACTTAGAGGAATGCTGAGAGAAGATATGTGGCAAAATGCAAGAGGAATGCTGAAGGGTCGTTTGTAGCACTTTATAATTTTTTGGCAAGGGGAGGAAGCAGTTAGTGTGTTTTGCTGAAGGGAGAAAGGACCAAAGATGGCAGGAAATTGTTAGAGTGCTGATTGAGTTCCTGAATCACCTGGATAAAGCACAAACAGAGACCAGACAAAGGTTAGAAGAAAATGTCAAGATTACAAGTCAAGATTGAGGCCCCATTACAGAAGTTTTTAACTTCAGAATGGCTATTAACTCAGGGAATGAAGATTGGGAAAGCAAACTGGTGATGAACCAGTTAGCAATTGGAGAAAATTTGTCAATATATTAATAGTGCAGTTGAAGCCAAGGGTACGTTCATCTTAACCCCATTTGACAGGTGTGAGGTCTGATTGACTTGGTAGAAGACAAAACAGATGAAAGTAGATTGACTTATCTAAGGACCAGGTTAACCACCTTGCTTTATTGGAACTTAGGCCCCAAATACCTCAACTAACAAAATGCAGGGGCCAAAGCCAAATAAGCTAACCAAAAAACATGAAGATGTGATAAGATACCAAAGCTGAAGAATTACTTGAATAGAAGGTCTGGGCCTTCAGATCTGGGGTAACTATAACTGGAAGTTATCCAAAAAAAAACTATAACTGACTGGAGGAAGCTAATCGTCATTATACGGGTATGGAGCCAGCTACATGAATCCTGTTTCACCATTCCATTCGGTTCAGTGCCATATCCATACTACAGGAGGCTAATGTCCCCTACTAATGATTTTGAATTTCTGCTAACCTAGGTTTCTACTTCAAAATAACCACTTAAGTTTCTCAAATATTTATTAGATAATTTTATTACCACAAGTTATTTTGTGTTTGTGTTTGTGTTTGTGTTTTCTTTTATTTAACTAGCTTCTCTTTAAACAAGAATGAAGGCGCACAAGACATATAGTTAGATATTGTGATATGCGACACCAATTTCACGAGATTTAACCATGAGATTTTAATTCACAAAAAAAGGATAGTGATAAAAGAAACTTACCAGAAGAAATCCATAGGTAATTGAAAATTACAAAAATGAACAGAATCATCTTAAAACTCTGAGAAAGCACAAGAATTCAGTTGTGGTAGAACTCCTCTTACCCTCCAACAGAAAGGACACTTTCATCAGTAGAGTATTTCTCCAGGATTGGCCCACCATCCACTTTCTCTTTGAGCATTCTTCTAGAAGTTTGTACCAAAGAGTCAGCACTCTGGGAACCCTGCATCTTCTCATCTGCAATGTGTTTTGTTCATTAGATAGCATAGTAGCAGAAAGTTAATAATCTCACCCACTACCAGACCAATAAAAAAATCCAAAATACCAATGAACAAAAATGCATAAATTAAAACCTTCAACCTTCTAAAACTACAATCTCAAAGCCATACAATTAATCACCAATGCTACAGAATTTTACAGAGTTGCTGGAAAGGAGAAAAGTGACACTTCTACTTCACGCAACCCCGTTACAAATTTACATGAAATAACTCTTATGAATGGTTCTCTAAGACCTTGCTCAAACTCTAACTTCAGAGCATGGCACATTATTGATGGAAGCAAAAGACTTCTTAACTACATTTGATAGCTACATACTACGACAATCAGAACCACCACCACCACCATAGAGAATGTCATGAACAGAAACATTTCCTATTTCTTTTCTGATAACTGATGGACCAGCTTCTTTTAGAGTCTCTTCTGATAATGTAGTTGTCACAGCAATGCATCTGCAAGTAGTGCAAAAAGAGAACATTCAATAAAAGGAACTTAAAGATAAAAAGGAAAGAAGAGAAAACGAATCATAGTACACATTACTCACTTTCCGTTTGTCTTAGACAATATAAATACTAAGGAAAAAAAGAGAGAACCAGCAAACTCATCGATCAAGATACTCAAGCAATCTCAGATCAACTTGATTTAGAACATACAAAATCAAGCAAACATCCTTAAAGGAAAAACAAAACCAAAAACAACAGCAAAAGAAGGTAAGCATCAATATATCCTTACCTCATTTTAGCAGCTTTGGCAGCTTGAACTCCAGCTAGTGCATCTTCAATTACAATACACTAAAAAAAAGTTTGGTAAATCAGTCATTCAATATTTCTAAATACATAAATGAAGCAAAAAATGAATATGAACATTCACCTAAAGAATGTTATCTAAATTATCATCCCTATTCTCATCATCATCATGGGCTTATTTTCTATAAAAAAATATCATCCCTATTCTCATCAGAGCATTGGATCAGCTACATAAGTTTTTCCTTGATTTAATTCTATCTTGGGCCATATCTTCTAGGCCTGTCAATGATACACGAAAATCCATGGCCTGATCCGATTATCCTGGATTTGGATTTTGCAAACCACATCCAGTTAATAATAGGATCAGAACCGGAATGGACGAAATATTGTGATATTTATTGATTTTAATATACAAACCTTTTATAATTATATTTAAAATTATAAAAAAAAAGATATTTTATATATTATATTATATATGAATTTATATATATATATATATAATAAACAATGTTTTAAAACATGGAGGCGTGACACGAGGTGTTCCACTACCTAGAGGCATGAGGTGTAGTTTCGAACGTAAGAGACGTAAGCCTACTTAAGAGGAGGGGGGATGAGGAGGGAGAAGAGGAAGGAGGATCTCATTTTTCTTTGTTTTTAATAAAAATCTTTTAGCTAAGAAGAATGAAGATGCATATCACTAGTTAAAAGGGGGGTCTTGTTGAAGCAAAGGCAAGCGAGAGAGCCAGAGCAAAGAAAGACCCCCCTAATACCAAAAAAAAAAAGGGCTGCATCAAAAAGGGGGTCTGGGGGGTCTGGGGCTTGGTATCCAGCCCATTTTCTTTCCTTCCCTTTCCTTTTCTTTTCTTTCTTTTTTTCTTTTCTTTTCTTTTCTTTCTTTTTCTTTTTCTTTCCCTTCCCTTTCTTTCCTTTCCTTTCCTTTTTTTTTCTTTTTTCTTTGTTTTTTTTTCTATCTTTTTACATGAGGCATACGCCTCTAGCACACCTCATGAAAAAAGTATATGAGGCATAGGCCTCAGAGGTGTCAGCGCCTCTGGCATATGCCTCAGGGCGTTTTGGGGGCGCCTCACCTAGAGGCGCTCCTCCAGGCATACACCTCCCACACCTTTTCAGTATGCTATATTTACATTAATTTATTAATAACAGTTGAAAGGTAATTAACTTTCTGTATTCAAAAAAATAATAATAATAATAAAATAGAGTCAGATTAAATCAGAATCTGATCTCTGAGTCCATTAGGATTCGCATTCGAATCCGAGGCCTTCAAATCTGATTGGATTTCGGATTGGATGCGGATGTCAGCATTCAATCATTGGATCGGATCAGATTCGGATTTTGCTGAATCCAATTCATTTACAGCCCTAGTATCTTCTATTAAAGAATGAGTTGGAACCTAACTCATTCTATTTTGGATACAAGTTTAAAATTGATGAAGATCCAATTCATATGCTTTCTGCATGAATGCAGTGCCACTGTATTTGATCTTTACTGATTAAGCCCATGGCAAAATTGAAGATACTTACTGATCCTAAAAATTGACGATACTTATTTCATAGTAAACACACTTGCCAATAGATTTGCCTAAGAATTCTATTAACTCTAAATAACAAGGGAACTCAAAAATAAGCAGCATTGAGTTTTAAAGAATGACAGATAATTTGGAAATTTTGAAAGTAAACAATGACTTCATATGGTTGATTGCACTCTCCCCAAATACTTGTTTATACCAAAGGTCTATATGGGTGTTGACATTGACAAGCAAACAGTCCCTAATTAGAAGCTTTAGAAGTACTTCGGGTGCGCTGCAGATTGTGGGTCATGTTAGAATAACTAATTTTGTCCCCCCCCCCAGCTCACTAGTCAAGGATTAAAAAGCATGGCCAAACATTTTAGAATAGAATTTTGGCCTAAATACTTGTTTATACCAAAGGCCTATATGGGTATTAACAAGCAAACAGTCTCTAATGAGAAGCTTTAGAGGTACTTCAGGTGCGCTGCAGATTGTGGGTCTTGTTAGAATAACTGTCCCCCTCCCCTACNGCTTTAGAAGTACTTCGGGTGCGCTGCAGATTGTGGGTCATGTTAGAATAACTAATTTTGTCCCCCCCCCCAGCTCACTGGTCAAGGATTAAAAAGCATGGCCAAACATTTTAGAATAGAATTTTGGCCTATCTCAGAGACTCAGACTCTCAGTTTCATGTAGAATAGACCTTTAGACCAAGGAAGATCTCTGTAACTGATGATCATAGAAAACAATGCCATCCAGAATCACTTTCCCCACATACCTCATCAGGTGTTACATTCAAACTCTTTGATGCAGCTATGAAAATATCTGGAGCAGGCTTTAGATTCTCAAATGCATCAGCTGACACAATTGCATCAAACCTGATACAAAAAGTAAATTTAAAACCACCATTAAATCCAAGAAGGTTGACACAATGAGGAAAACCCATAATCCTTTTTTTGAGATGTCAAGAGAAAAGAACTACAGCAAGGCCAAAATGATTTAAGGGTTAATAATTTAACAAGTGACATTACACTAGACAGAGCAGAATGGCTAAACATGATTCATGTAGCCAACCGAATATAGTTGGGATAAGGATTAGGCCATGTTTGGGAGTGCTTAAAAATAAGTGCTTATTTGGGTCAGGACCACACCATTAAGCACTTATTGGTGTTTGGGAAATAAGCCCAAAATAAGTGCTTATTTTAAAAATAAGGGCTTATTTTTTAAGCCTAAATTTCTAGCTTTTTTAAGTGCTTATTGCATAAGCACTTATTCAATTTTTTTCTTCCAAAATCATCCCTAGTTGAATTTTAAAATGCCACTTACAAAATTATCCCTAGTTGAATTTTATACAAGTACTTTCGTAAAAGTGTTTTCTTAAAAGTACTTCCATAAAAATGATTTTATAAAAGTACTTTCAAAAAGTGATTTTATTAAAGTGCTTTCATAAAAGTACTTCCGTAAAAGTACTTTTATAAAAGTGCTTTTATAAAGTTCTTTCATAAAAGTATTTTTATAAGTGTTTTCGTAAAAGTGCTTTCATAAGGGTATATTTTGAAAATTTAAAAGAAAATGAAGGACAAAATAGTCACAAATGCTTATTTAAGTGCTTATTGGAGAAAAAGACTACCAAACGCCCAATATGAAATAACTGCTTACTTTTTAAAGTAAACACTTGAAAAAGTTGGGTGCCAAATGCAAATAAGTGCTTATTTGAATAAGCACTTATTTTTAACATAAGCACTCCCAAATAGACCTGTTCACGGGTTGGGTCGGGCTGGGTTCGGGCCAAGCTTTGCCTCTACATTAACAAAACATGCTTAGGCCCGAGCTCGAGCTCGAGCTCGAGCCTGGTCAGAAATTTGGAAAAAAAAAGATTTTTTCCTTTTTAATTCAATTAAAAACTATTTTATTTATATTAAAAGACCTCATGACCTAAAAAATAATGAAAGATCTAATTATCACTTAAAAAAATAGAAGAAAAATAAAGAAAAAATATATTATATATGTTTTTTTATTATATAATGCATTATCAAGTCGGGCTCGGGCCGGGCTTTTTTGAGAAAGCCCGAGGTCGGCCCAAAAAAAGGTCGGGCCCGATATTTTAGGCCCGAGCCCGAGCCCACAGGCCTGAAATCCTATCCAAGCCCAACTTAGATCAGGTCGGCCCAGCCCGGCCCATCAGGCTACCCAGCCCATGAACAGGTCTACTCCCAAACATGGCCTTACTTGAGTTGAGTTAAGCTGGGTTAGGTTGAGTACGCTACCAGTACTTTTCCTTAACCCTCTATCAAACAAAAATTAAAAAAAAAATGGAAAAGGCCACAAATTTTATGGTACAGAAACATTTTCAGTACCAGTATCATAAATCCACCTCAAGATAAAAGTTGAAATAGAAGTTCTATAGAACTGCACCCCATATGTTTGCAATACCAATCTGTAATGTTGGAACTCATGTTTGGGAGCAATATTCTCATGTTGCAACATTTACAGCTTGTGGTGCATTTCACAATTCCAGTACCAAAAAAAAATGTTTCTATGCTGTAGAATTGCTGAAATAATACATCATTCAGTTATTTCACAATCTTAGTGATATTTGATACAGCCAAGACATGGAGCAAATCATTTCCATTAAAAGAAAAAAGAGAACTTATGGAGCAATAGAGATACAAGTATATGTTGATAACTCAATCAAGGGACATAACTACATTGTTTCATTCAACAGCTTGTTTTCCAAAACAAGATCAAAGTTTTCTGCAAGGCTAACCTTTTTCTAGATATTCTTTTTATGGTCAACCATTAGTCAACTTTCGCCCCCCCCCCCCAGTAGGACACTTGGAGCACAGGTGAAGATAAATTCTAATTTTAGTGTTGTTGCATCAAGACAACAACAATACTGATTTCTAACTAGTTATCTATCTAAGGTGTACTTTTATAATGATGAGCAGAAAATCACAAACAGTGACCAGCCTAATAATTGCAAAAAAGAGAGGGCTGCTGGCAGTCTGGTACTAAGGATTGAAGGAACTCACTTAACACTATAAGACGGGCAAAGGAAGATGGCATCTACTGTAGCTACCCATTCTACCTCTTTTTGTGGGTTCCATGTTTCAAGTTTCTGTAATCACAGATTGGCTGATTGGGAAGGGATCAGACATGTCATATACAACAACTAATTCATGCCTACATATGCTAAATTGATGCCATCAATTGCTTAAATGCCTACATATGATTCTTGCAGACCTATTCTAATGTATAAGGCTGTTCTTTTGGTATCTTTTGCAAAGCTTATCGACACATCAACACAGTACATGACTTCACTAGTCAAAAAGAAAAACTGCAGAAAAAGTAAATTATAGAATGCTGCAGTGATATCAGATCAAAGAAAGCAAATTGGAGACTGCAAAGTAGTTAAAACCATGTAATGCAAATTGAGAAGTAGAGTAACAACTAAAGTGACTTACATTGACACAGGTAAACCAGCAGCAGCCAAGTTTGCATCGACTTTGATTCGGTCAGCACTAGATGCAACTGCAACCTTGAGGCCATTTTCCTTGCACTTTTCAGATCAGCACCAAATAATCGTTTGTTACAATTGTGCAGAAATAAATTCACGCAAATTTATGTCATGAATTGTTTATCTAGTTACCTGCATAATGAGTTCAAGGGCACCTGGAAATCCAATTCCAGAGTTTGGTTTTGCATACTGCAAAAATGAAGAACTTCAGGCTTAAGACAAATTTGAGAACTGATTTGTGTCAACATATCAACAGATTTCACATTGACGTGCATGGCATAGAGGTGAAATGTAGAAATTCAAGCACCTTACTAAGATATATATCAAAGAACCTTTTCTTTGCCAACTCAGGATTGAACCCTTTAACCCCTTTCACTGAAGCAACACCACCTAGAAAATTCGCCTCGCCTAGTTCATTGTTGTCAAGGAAATATAGAAGTGGTATCAGCATTTCAAATATTCAAGTTGACCATACAATTGCAACTGTTAAAAGAATTTGACTTATATTTCTTAAGCAAATATATAAGATTCTTTTCTAGCACAAGATGACAAGATTTGTGCATCAAATTAATACCTTTCTTCCAAAGAGAATAACTTTAATTTAAATTTTAAAAGTAATTGTTGGGTTAAGTCACAGCTTAAATCACTGCTTTTTTGAGCTTCCTTTTCTCAGTCTCTCGAAGTGGCACCATAAAGAGAGGATACCCTAGTTAAGATTAAAGTGGGTTTCAGTTTTTTCTTTCTTTCTTTTTTGGATGATAAGTATTCATTAAATAAAAGGGGTTACAGGTATAGCATAAAGAGGTGCCACCTTCAATTTCATAATTATAGGTCATACACTGAAACTCAGTGATTTCCAATAACCCTCCTTTCTTAAAAGTGCACCTAATCACCTTAAAGTCTCTCTGTGACTATTGATCAGTAAATGTTAACCAAGTAAATTTAAATGCCATCTAAATTTAAAGTAATAAATATTTTCCAAACCAAATTACTTTAAAATGAAATGGACGTTTACTTTGCTGACCATTGTAGAGCATGGGCAATATCTAAAGACCCGCTTTTGACAAGTAATTACCTAGACACCAAAACAGGCTCCCACCACCAGATTGCTTAGGCAACTTTGACTAAGCTACTCAATGAAAATGTGCAATATCAGCAAATTCTATGGTATCTTCGAGAAACCTTGCACCGTGCCTTTTCTTTTCATCTTCTCCACATTGGAGCTTCATGTGTGTGCTGAAGTGCACTAGGTAAGGTTGTAACAGACATGTCTACTTCTTCTGTGGTTGCCTTAGAGAAACTCTTTATCTCTTAAAAAAACCAGAAGTGTTCTGTCGATTCCCTTCAATTCAAGGGGTGGAGCATGTCCCGTGGCTTATGCAACTTCAGCAATTATCTGGTTATAAACTTGTAACAGCTTCCCCAAGAAATCATCACTCGATATACAATGTTCACCAATCCCATATGTGTTCCTTTCAAATTGCTCAGAACCCTATTTTTTCATGAACATGTGGGGCACATTGGGACAACTATAACTTTGTTGTCATAACCCTCTGTCCTCAGCCAGATTTTCCACCTTTTGTATCTTGCCCAGGTTTTACAGAGGGAACCCATGACCTTATTTTGGATATAGTTTTTCTATACCTTAAGACTTGAGTATATGCCCGTCCTTTTTCCTTTAAATTAGAGTGCCATAAAAATCTGACTAATGGCATCTTTACGCGCACGCAAAACATGAAAACTTACTAATGTACCATCCATCTAAGATGAAGCGTTTCATCAAAAATAATGTAAACTTTCTTATAGAACAATAATATTATAATCATTAATTTACTCAACTCAAACGCAGAAGTCCCTTCCTTTTCATCTACGTTACTCAAGTACTTGATCAAATCAAGTCAGCGGAAGAGTAATATATACTCCATTGACAAAAAAGCATTTATTACTAAAGTTTAATAGTCCGTAGGCATGCAGTTTACTATCTATCTTTACAAATTGTTGAGTTTATGCCGGTACAGTCTTCTTCTAATCTCAGTAATCCTGTTTATAATTGAATGTAGTGATAATTGAGTTATAACTGGTACCAGTCTACCGGAGTTGCTTAACCAAAATCAAAGCCGCCTGTGATAGTAGAAGCATCGATCGTGGGTTCTATTGGGGGAGGGGGGCTTACCCGTTCCCATGAAGGGCACGAAATCCTCGGTTGTTACTTCGACGCCCATTTCAGCAAACACGTCAACTGCGGCCATTCGAGATGGTTCTTCGCTATTGCAAAGAACTCCGTCCATGTCAAACAGAACGGCCGATACCTTCCCCCACTCATTTTCAGTTTCAGATGCGTTTATCTCTTCTAGTTTCAGACACGTCGTAGTAGTGGCACTACTAAGTTGGCGAGAAAATGGAAGTATTCTGTTTCGCCATTGAAAGGGGAAGATCAAACTGGAGATCGAGTTGGAGAAGGAGGAAGCGACGTGTAATTTTGATGCCAATGGTGGGTAAATCACGATAGATCTCGCTTGAACTCTGCTGGTTGGAGAAGGGGCAAACAGTCGGAGCGCCATAGCCTCTAACTGACACAGTGACACTACCATCCAGTGGCGGGGAGAATGTTTTATAACATCCGCCACACGTTTAACAACAAAAATAATTAAATAATTAATAATAACATGACAAAATTACCCTTTTCTTTAGCAAAATGCCGTTATCCGTATATGCCTTTTTCCTGTTCATTTCATCCACGGAAGGATTCCAGGGGGAGTGTTTCGTAAAGAAAAATAAAAGGCTGGTTTTCTTTTTTTCTTGGTCAATAATCAATAGCGGTTTTTGTGAAGGAGAAATTAGTGGGTTTTTTCCCCTCTTTTTAGCCAATAATTAATAGGTCGGTGGGTTTGTAGTGAGCCGATAAAAAATAATAGACATTATCCATAAGAAATATATGCAAGAACCAACGACGTGGAGGAAAACAGGCCAACTTTCTCCTTTTTCTATTCCACGAAAATATGGTCCTCACCCTAAATGGTTATGGCCTTGTATAGGGTTTAAAAATAAGTGATTATTAGGATGTAGGTAATAATTATGATAGTTATAGTAATAATGTATTTAAATTTTTTTATAAATTTTATGTATTTTTATTTTTTATTTATATAAACATGTATATATTGCTTTTATTATTAAAATTGCAAAATCTAAATTTGACTCAAACATGATCAAATTGAATTGTAAAATTTCAAGTATTATTGACAAGTCTATTTGTTTGGCTATATTCTTCTTTTTGTGGTATTTTATCTTTTTGATGTCTCTTTTTTCTTTTGTTTATTTATCAAAAAAAATGTAAAATTTAGATAGAGGGAATTGAATGAGGTGAAAAGCAGTGGTCTAATTTACAATTTAAACTTTACATAATTAAAGAGGGAATAAATTCAAAAATTAGTATTTTAGTCACTATTTTAAAAAATAGGCCACAACGGATAGTTGAGATCATTTAGCCTGAGAACCGATTTGGTCATTGGTTTCGTTTCGGCCCTAAACCACTATTTTACCCAAAAAAAAAAACAGTTGAAAAGGTTAGATAACTGTTGAACTGGGCAGTTTAACCATTAAAATGGTTGACCTTGTTAACAGTTCTCAGGTTGCTTTTAAACTAATTCCAATATTTTTATTTATTTTAAAATATAAATTAGAAAAATAAAACGAAAATGAATAAATAAACTTTCATATCTCATAATCTTGTTCGGTTATTCAAAATGACCAAAATTAGTTAGGGTTTTTAGTTTTCCCATTTTGATTTTGAGTTTTCTCATTTATGTTATTCTTTTTAGGGCCATTCTTTTTAAGTTGTGACAAAAAAGACAAAAAAACAAAAAGTACAACTACAATGAATAAATCGAAAAATCGATGCAATAGATGATAAATCAAACATTGATCTTATATTATAAATCTAAGATACAAATGAAGCAAACGATCTTGTATTTGAGAGAGGTGTAAGAAAATGGCAAATAGTGTTGTAGTGGCGATGATGATGATGAACATTGAGATAGTCATATGTGGTGGTTTTTTATTATTTTTCTTCTTCTTATTCTTTTTCTTACTTATCAGCTTTAACTAGCCACCTCATTGTCAAAGTTTCACTCATAATAATGTATAAATATGGTGGGCCAATGTTTTTAAAACCGGAGTAGACAATGAACCATTTTGGGGACCAATTCCCGGGTCGAACGATCTAACTATCTAGTTCAAAGAAATGGCCCGCTCTGACTTAGAAAACAAAAAAGGGTAAAACTCGTTGCCCAGGTCAACGGTTCGACCGCTTGGGTTAGCGGGCTGCCAACTAAATCAAAGTTTTTTTTTTTTGCCAAAAAAAAAAGCGGTTTTAGGGTGAAATGAAACCAATTACCTTACCGGCTTCCAATTTTTCCGGTCTAGTTCGGTTTTCAATATTAGTGTAAATATGGAATTATAAATGTGTTCAAACTTTCTTTTTTCTTTTTGTATTTTTGTATGTAAAAATAATTCTAATATGTTATACTTGCTTTTTGTTTAGTATGATAAATGTGTGATATTATACATGTGTTTGATTTTTTTTTGCAAAGTTTATGTTTTTTTTTTATTTTTTATTTTTCTATTTTATTATTTATTTATGACACTAAAGGTTAACACATTTAAGCAAAAAGTTGAACTATTTATTATTAATTTTTATATTTCACATTCGGTCGGTTATAAATTATGTTTTCATTTTCATTATCAATAAAAATAAAAATAATTATTGTTTACTTCACTTTTTTTATTTGATTAAAAAATCATAAAATGCCTAATTTTGTCCACAATTTTTGTAATTTTTTATGTTTATTTATATTTTTAACATTTTATTACCTAACTATGACCTCATATGTTGATCAATTTGATTCAGATTGTTGAATTGCTTAGCCACCACTTGGATAAAGAATTGTTGAGAATTTAATCAGTTATGTGTAGATTTAGCAGTAATCTTTTATATGTTTATTGTTTAGATAGGAAGTGGAGACCACAACACTCTTGTTGGGTTATTTGTTGATTGCCTTTTAAGTGTTTTATGCAATTTAAGATGCTAGCTGCCCTATAAGGGCATATTTGTCATTGTACTCCACTTTATATTTTTAATATAAATACTAGTGAAGGGGGCGGTCATATTAAGTGTTATCTTTTCTCTCTTGAACCTCTTCATCTTATTCTTCTTCTCTATTATCCTCTTCAAGAAAACATATTTTATTTTACATTTTATTACCTAACTATGACCTCATATATTGATCAATTTGATTCGGATGGTTGAATTGCTTAGCCACCACTTGGATAAAGAATTGTTGAGAATTTAATCAGTTATGTGTAGATTTAGCAATAATCTTTTATATGTTTATTGTTTAGATAGGAAGTGGGGACCACAACACTCTTGTTGGGTTCTTTGTTGATTGCCTTTTAAGTGTTTTATGCAATTTAAGATGCTAACCACCCTATAAGGGCATATTTGTCATTGTACTCCACTTTATATTTTTAATATAAATACTAGTGAAGGGGGCGGTCATATTAAGTGTTATCTTTCCTCTCTTGAACCTCTTCATCTTATTCTTCTTCTCTATTATCCTCTTCAAGAAAACATATTTTATTTTACAGATTTTTAATTCAATAATATTTATACTTGGTTTCAGAGCCAGTTACGGTTTCTTGGAGTTCCCCCATTCAACCCTAGATCAGCCAATTGCATGAGAAGATAAAGGGTTGATCGATCTACTTCAGATTGCCCAATTCTTTGATTTTTGAGTGTATTTCAATCATCATTAAGACGATCTATGTTTTGGCATCAAAATCATGAAGAACTGGAGTGCGGGGAATGATCCTATGAAAGTTTGACTCTTCATTATTGATCTGATATTGGGCGCTTGGTCATTGTTGGACTTCTCTAGGGGTTTTAGAGTGTGTGGTTTGGACTCTTCATTCTAGATATGATATAGGGCGCTTGGACCTGTATCAATATTTTGAACATTGATTTTAAGATGAAAAGGTAAATTCATGTAAATGAAATGAATCAAAAAATACAAAAAAAAAAATTTTATATGCTAAAAAAATAATTATTGTTATTTTAGCTGGTTTTGTTTGAATAAAATAATGGTCAATTAGGGTTTAGGAGAGAAGGGAAAAAAAAGAGTTTATGTGGACATTTTAATAATATAATGCATTTAGTTACTAAGTGAACATGGTATTTGTCATAAAGTAAAAGTCCAAAGGGGACTTTATTGTAAATGAAAAGTCATGGGTATTTGCATAAAAAACAACATAAAATACAATGTTTTGCACTCTATGTATTTGTCTTTCTTTCTTTATGTAGTCTCTACTTTGATCAACGGAGCTTTGCTCTTGGGTGATGGATGGTTCGAGATTTGAGGGGCACATAACAAGCTTGTGCGTGAATCGAACCCTATCAAAAGCTGTTGACCATCAATCTCGTCAATCAGACGAATCTCGAGGCCAAGAGACTACGGATGGTGTTAGATTCACGCACAAGCTCGCTATATGTCATTTCTGCGAGATTTCTCTACACGTTTTTTACTTACGACTTTAAATTTTTTATTTTTATTTTTAATGTAAATCGCTTTGGCTCCAATTTGTTTTTCGTTTGGGGCGGGTGGTTCACCGTTTCAATCTTGTTTTGTTTTAGGTTCTTCTGTTGAATTCAAATATCGGAAGAAATTTTTGAAAAGGAGGAGGATGGCGTCCGGTTCAGAGCAGGGGTTAGATACCGCGACCGAAGATTACGATTCGTTGATTGCAACGACAGATGTTGAGCTGTTGAAGCAGGCATGGCGGAACGAAAAGGCCGCTCCGGAAATTCTTCAGTTTCAGGCCAGTCTGATACAGAGGTCTAGAGAACAAATTCAATTGATGGTAACACACCCATAAACCCTAAACCTAGAATTTTAGCTTGCTTTCTCTGCGTCATTCTTTATTGCTTTAGTAGTTGATGAGTTGCAAGTGTGATTGCTTCGGTAATTGTTTGCTCTGAACATTCAATGTGTATTGTACATGCTCAACCACATGTTTTCGTCTCACTCTGTAAAGCACGTCGGGTTATGAGTAGTTCGTGAAAGTGAGGACAACTTCCACAACATCGAGCTTCCATGTTTGGCTACGCTCAATCTAGCTTGGTGCCCCTCTTGATGAGTAAAAAGTAAATAAAAAAACAAAACTAAAGAACACAAAGCCGATGTTGTTAGAGTGTTAGTTTTAGCAAGTGATTCCCGAATAATATTTCAACCAGTTTATTGTTTACAGTCAATTTATCTTCATTTGGATTTTGATGCCATACTCCCCTTTTCTTCAGTTGCGTTATTTTGATATCGGTTTTGGTGTATATTTCCAGGAAGATACTGTGGAGGAATTTACTGAAAATGGTACCGATCCTTTAACAGTGTCTCTTTATCAGATGGACTTGGATAGAACTCAGTTTCTACTGAGATCGTATCTTCGGATCCGTCTTCAAAAGGTGGCGATGGGATGAACTACTTGTCTTGTTTTTATTTCATTACGCCATTTTGTTAGTTTCTTAATCTGATATTTTTTTAGATTGAGAAGTACATGATCCACATCTCAAGAACCAATGAATTATGGAACCGGCTTTCAGAACAGGAACAAAGGTTTGCTAAAAGGTGAAGGTGTGCACTTTTTTATATTCTCTGGATGTTCTTAATGAGGAATGCTATATTATTATTACTTGGTTGCTTGTCACATTGTTTAAGAGGTCTTTCTGGTGAACAGGTGTACCGATGACATGGAAAAGCATCTAAAACAATCTGTTCTGTCACGATTACCTTATGGTTATCAGTCCATTCTAAAGCAATCCATATCGAGTGAAGAAGATGACATGGGTAATATATATTTCTTAGTGCTACTACATATTTCTATTAAATTTTGGATTATAGATTTCTTGCATTCATCTTAAACCTTGTGTGTTTCATCATATGATGTTTAAACATGCAAGGGTGTGAGGTATAAAGACCCTTAGATGTGTGAAGTGTGAGCCTCTTTGGTAAACACTAAAAAACCCAATGGTTCAAACAGTAGCCAATTAGTTCATGTTGCCAAGGTATTTCATCGAATAAAGGAAGGTTTGCTTGGAGTTGGGCCTTGCAGTAGGTACAGGAGGATTTATAAGAGAAAGGGGCCAAAAAACAGAAATGATTATCAAAGAATTGATGAATAGCAGTAATATGGATACAGTGAAGAAAAAGGATGAGGAGAATAAGTTGGAAACCACCTCTGATGTTCAAAAAGAAGAGTTGTTGGCAAGAGATATGATGGTGCAGGGGTTAGAGGATGAAGTGCAAGAAAATACAGAAGGGGAAGAGGAGGTAGGGGAAATGGCTTTGGATAAAGTGAAAGAAGTAGAAAGTAAGGTCGATCTGGAAAAAAGTAGTGGAAACTGATATCAAAGTAAGCAAGTTGTTAGGGGTATATTTGATAGGAGGGGAAGAGGCTGCTAGGAAAATGTTATGGGATCTGGAAAAGTGGTATCCTATGAAGGATTATAGGTTTTTGTTTGCTTTGGGACTAGTAGTAGGACCAATTGGGTGTTGAAGTGTTCTTTGGGTTGGGTAGTAATCTAGTGTGTGATTGTAAAAATGGGGAAGGAAATTATGTTTAAGTAGGGTTTGGAGGGTAATATTGGTGTGGGTTTTTGGGCTTAGAATCTCCGTTTTTTTATTTGTTACCCAAAAAGTGAGTTACTACATTTTTTTTTTTAAGAAAAGAACATGTGCGCTGCCACTAGAGGGGTATTTTTAGAGAATACCTAAAAATCTTTTAATAACTGTTGAAGAGCTTTAAATGTAAAATAATACATACACATGAATGCACATGCACATATACATAATGGCATCTCAAGTAGTAAGTAACGTGCCTTGTACTCAGAGATATTATTCTTAAGGTTGAGCCTTCAGGCATTTTCCTTGAGTCTTGCCTTGAGGTGAGCCTAAATGCTTAAGTCTCATAACTCATCCAAAAAAAAAAATGCTTGTCTCGTACACTTTTTAAAACATTGGGATCAACCAAGGGCTCTGTTCTATATTGTTTTCTTTCTGACTTGTGGTCATTGCCTTATTCTGGAAGTGTCTTGGCATTTGGAAAAATATTTCATGCACCCTCATATGTGTCTTATAAAAGCTATTAGACTAGGATGGGATTGTTGAAGACATTAATAGGATGCTACACTATTGCTTGTAATGAATGTTCTAGCTGTAGTGGATTGGTTTATACTCACTCCCACACCCATGCATAAACACCCTCAAAGACCCTTGTAACAGAACTTGAGCAAATTGGGTATGGTGGTTAACACTTAACATAGAGGAAATGTCTGTTGCTTGATGTTCTGAAGCTTACTCATGACTTCCATTTTTAAAGCTATCGTTGTGGATTTTTGCTTTAGTTCTAAACCCTTGGTTATGCACATGTACTAGAGAATAAGAAAGAATGGAATTAATGTGCTGTTATAATTGGAACTTATGGATGGGTTAGTTTGCACAAGGACTATTGGATATTGGGCCTTGTTGCTATGATTTTTTTGCTGATGATTAACAGTCAGAAAATTTTATTAATGCTTTGAAGGCTAGAAAGGCCCTTCTACTTGGAAAATTCTGAAAGCATAGAGCACAAAACATATGATATTACAATAGAGCAAATGGTGGTCAAATGGTAAGAAACATATCCAAAGAGGTGTATAGTTCTGCCAATGACCTCACATTGCCATTCTAACTGTGGTCTTTCAACTCCGTTCTTAGCTAGAGAGAATCAGCTGAGGCATTATCCGATTTAGGAACACAGTCATGCTTGATTTATCCATCCAAGGAAGTAGCAAACATCTTTGGTTTTCTGATGGAAAACCTGAGCTCCCAAGGACCATTTGCCCTGGAAAATATCATCTGAAGAGTGATGAGCTTAGGCATCAACTGGGGGATGTATTTATGAATTTCATAAATGAAAGGGTATAAATTAGATGCCAATCTTCCTTGTGCCAGAACTAAATTGTAAAATCTTTGAAGGAAGAATTTGGAAAATGGTGCCCTGATTGCCAAGATTGAAAGGCTTTTCATTTTCTGGGCACATAATAGCAAGAAGCCAAGAAATTCTCTGGAATGTCCTATAATCAGATCAGTACACATTGCCGGAATGTTTTGTAGAATGATGATTTATATAATGCTAATTCCTTTTGTATAGCAATGTGCACCTCATATAGTGAGTATACATCTTGTACATCTTTGCTTTGAGGGAAGCTTTTTCTCTTTAATACAATATCATTTGTCTTTCAAAAAAAAAAAAAAGAAAAAACTTATGCCAGCAAAGGATGATATTAAATGCCTATAATTGGTAATGAATTCAAGCAAATTGATTGTAGAGCATTAGCTTCTTTCACATGACATTAATGTATGGTTTCTAGAGTGTCAGGTTGTGGTTGGATTTGGTCTCTTTTTCCCCCCTGGGGTGATTTCTGGTCACTTTTTGGTACTTTTTTTATTTTAATAAGTTTTATCTTATTGCAAAAAAAAAAAAAGAAATATCATGGAACCTCACTGTGCATCACTGTCCAGTTGAAGGAAGATTGGTTATGTTCCATGATTAGTATCAATTATCAATTGTTTCATGATTAATGTCAATTTGTATTAGGTTTGTGGAAGTAAAGTTCTATTTTAGAAACTAAAAAGATTTTCTCATCTGAGTTACTGAAAACTTGAGATGAAATTTTGTTTTGAGATGTTTGTATTCTTTTGCAATGTTGATACTGTGCTAGCAAGACAAATCATATAGCCAGGTCTGTCATATGTTCACTGTAAATGCAATTGTTTGTTTCTGTGTGTCTATTACCATCTTGAATTTGCTCCCAATATTTGAGGATCAAAACTTCAAAAATCAAGGTTTGTTTCTCAACATTGTCTGATTGATTGATCTTTGATATGGAGTTTCAGTCCCAGAGCCTCAGTTGGACACATTCGTCTTTTGCAAGAGCAAGGGATCAGTGGGAGCTTTCCAGCTCGATGACAGGTAAACCTATTGTCACAGTTCTGTGTTCTGTCTGTCTGGAAATGTCAACTGTTCTAGCTAACCGGTCATTTTCTTCCACCGTGTAGTGGGGATGAGATCGTGGACCTAGTTGGTGATGATCTATATGTGCTTCGTTACAAGTCGATAAAAGCACTAGTGGAAAGAGGGCAAATTGACCTTGTCTAAAACTATTCGGAATCTAATTTCATGTATGTGCCATTGCTGATGAATATGTGTAACAGATTGTTGGTGACATTGTCATGTCTTGAGAATTCTTATACTCCAATTGTCCATTTTTCATCCATGGTAACTGGTAATTAAACGGTACTTTGTTCAGTGTGTGCAGCCTGTTCGGGTGTTTGTTTAGAACACTGCGCTGCACCTGGTGTTGGTTAGAAGTTTAGAACCTTTGAAGAGGAAGAATGGGTCTTAAATCTTAATGTTGTGTTCTACCAAAACATTGGAACCAGCTAGGCAGTGTAGTCTCTTAACAGGTTAAGTCCATTGAAGTCCCACTTAGTCACTTATTCAGTTCTGGGTGTGCGCAGTGTGCGTCCTTGGTATTTTGGAGAATCAAGAATCAAATGCATCATGGCTTATAAAGAGGAAAAATAGAATAAGTTACAAAAGCTGGAATTAACTAACCTGATTAAACAACCGGTTGAACCAAGGTTTTTAAAACCGGATCAGACAGAGAACCATTATGGGGTCTGGTTCCTGGGTCTAATGGTCTGGCTGTCTGGTCTGAATGGATGGCCTACTCTGACCAAAAAAAAAAGAAAAAGACCAAAAAACCGTTGTCTTGGTTGAATCGAATTTGAATAATTTGATAAATTTAATAGTTGAATTCGAATTTATGCATTTTACCGATTATTTTATCGAATTTGAATTCGTGTTGATATGATTTGATAAAAATTCAAATTCGATTAATTATACATTTAATATATATTAATAATAATTATGTATATTTAAAGTCTTAAAGAGGGGCCATGTCCATAAAAAAACTGGCATTTTAGTTGCAATGATGTCACCTACACCTACAGACCTACTCGAGTGGTCCCCCCCCTTCTCTCTCTCTCTCTTTTCTATTCTCACTCCTCTTCTCTTCCTCTCTCTCCCTTTGTTTTTTATTCCCAATCTTTGTAAGTTGTGAGCACCAAAGGTAGCATTATTGATAGCAGTTGAGCACTGGTCACCGGCCACTACCATCTCCTTCGCTGCTGCTTAAGCTCAAGTTTAATGTCTCAAGGCCCTCAACTGTCCAGCATCATCGGCTGTTGTGCTGCAATAGTCCACCATCACCAGTCAACACTGCTCATTAGTCATTATCATCGCATTTGTACTATCAGGAACTCACGACTGCCACCGTCAATCCCTTGCATCTTTTCACAAGCTGATCACTTGCTTTTCTTTGTAAACTCAGTCATTTAAGATTCTAGGCCTCGTGCCGGTTGTATCTGAATCGATTCGAATATTCAATTTAATAATTGAATTCGAATTTGAATTTGAATTGAAACATCTGATATCCGTTGGATATCGAATCAAATTCGAATATTATTTTTTGTAATCGATTTCGAATTCAAATCTAGCCTAATTCGATTCGAATTAGATCTGTTTACAGGCCTAGCCAAATCAATGTTTTATGGCCAAAAAGTGATTTTGGGGTGAAATGGAGCTGGTCAGGTGATTGGTTCCCAATTTTTTTGGTCCAACCATCTGGTTGAACAATCAAACAGTGAACAAATAATACTTATTGATTTGAAAGCGATTTAAGAACTAGTTCATTCAATGGTCAAAGAGGCATTGAACAATTGATTATGAGCTTGTTGCTTTACTCCCTTTCATTGTTAACACAAACTTAAAACCAGAATTGTTATAATCAGTTTGGTTTGGTTTTGTAAGATAGACCTTCCCATTGACAGTCCATTGAAGTGCTTTTGTAAATGTACTTTTATAAAAGTATTTCCGTAGAAGTGTTTAAGTACTTTTGTAAAAATGCTTTTGTAAAAGTGCTTTCGTAAAAGTATTTCTATAAAAGTGCTTTTGTAAAATTGCTTTTATAAAAGTACTTCCATAAAAGTTCTTTTGTAAAAATGATTTCATAAAAATGCTTGTGTAGCTTTTATAAAAGTGCTTTTGTAAAAGTATTTTTGTAAAAGTGCTTCGTAAAAGTACTTTTTATAAAATTATTTTTATAAAAGTGCTTTTGTAAAAGTGTTTTCATAAAAGTTCTTNCGTAAAAGTACTTTTTATAAAATTATTTTTATAAAAGTGCTTTTGTAAAAGTGTTTTCATAAAAGTTCTTTCGTAAAAGTACTTTTATAAAAGTGATCGGTTTCAAATTGGACAAGGGTTTGGCCTCATGACCGGATTACTGGAAATTTGGTTTAGGTCCAATTTAGACCAATAAGAATATGAACCAATTTTTTTTGGATTGGCCCAATCCAATAATTATAATGGACTGTCCAAATCTGATTGATAAGGTTTGGATTGGATTAGATCCAATCCAAAATCGGTTGATTGACACCCTTACTACCAATTGAGCCATTATTAGTTGGTTGGCATAGAGGTGTAAAGTGGGCGCAAAGAGTGGGTCGTGCCGTGTTGGCCTGCGGGCCGTGCCACCCTCCCCAGTGAAAAGTTTGGGGGTTGGCCTGACATGGCCCACGACCCAAGCCCGTGCGGGTCAATGCCGTGCCCAAGTTGGGACATGGATCGAGCCAAAGCTATTTTTGCCTATTTATTTAAAAAAATTGAAGAAAAACTTAAAATTTTGATTTTATATGAATTTTGATATATACAATTACTTATATATACAATAAGTAAATAAATTAGTATAATAAAATTGAAAACAATTGTTTATTTTATTAATATATTATATACTATATATTATTATATAATTATAATTAATATAATATATTATATATTATATATAAAATATATAAATATATATAAAATATATAAATATATATAAATAGTATATATGGGCAGGCTGGGCTGTGTCGGCACGCAGGCTGTGGGCGGCACGATCTGTGACCTAAACCCCTAGGCCCAGCATGACATAGACCATCGTGCCAAGTCTGGCATGACCCGCGTGCCATCGTGCCACGCTGTGCCGGGCTGCGTACAGCTTGGCTCGATTTACACCTCTACGTTGGCGTGTCCCATTTAGGTCTTTATCAAGTGAGTCTTGGGATTGAACTTGCACACACCAGGGTTGGGTGGGGGTAGGGGTGGTTTCGAGCCGAGCTGAGCCAAATAGTATGAGGCTCGAGCTCTGCTCGCCAAGGTTATATAAGGCTCGAGCTCGGTTTGAGCTAGAATATTAAGCTCGAGCTCGATTTGAGGAAAAATATTTTATAAAAATAAAAAATTATATATTAAAAATATTTTTTATTTGATATTTAAATAATTAAAAATTATAATATTTTTATTATATGTATTTTCTATAATTTTATTATATATATATATATATATATATATATTCGAGCTCAGCTCACAAGCCTCATGAGCTGAGCTTTATTAAGCTCGAGCTCGACTCGTTTATTAATCAAGCCTGTAAATTGAGCTTAAGCTCATTTGAAACCAAGCCGAGCCGAGCTTTTCACTAACCAAGCTCGAACAGCTTGTGAAAAGCTCGACTCTTGCCACCCCTAGGTGGGGTAATAGGTTTCATGGATTGGGGGATGAGGAAAAAACTTTTGATCCTTTTAAATTGTAGGTACAATCGCTTTGAACGGTAGATGATGAATCCATACCTCCTGTTTTTGTCAAAATTTTTGAGTGCTGAATGGGGTGGCTTTAAATGTACGTAAAATGGTAATTGTTACTACAATTACCATGTAGCCCTATGTAGCCACCCCATTAGAGATTAATGGAATGGTGGCCATGAAATGCACTTGCACGCCTTTGGGCAAAGGGACAAGTTGGATTGAACATCAGGTTTCATATCTTTGAATTTTGAGGATCCCTTTGATTTGCGGATAGGACTAGAATCGAAATCGGATTGGAATCACTTAAGATGCCTGTTTGGTTCAATGAAAAATCAGAATCGAATTCTGATTGTTGCTCTTTGATTTATTAGAGATTAAAATCCCAATTATATCTGTTCGGTGCCTATGTCCATATTCACCGCCGATGCCTGTGTCTGTGTTTGTGTTTGCCGCCGACCAAACAATAAGAGAGGAATAAAACAAAACCGAACAATGAAGAGAGAGAGAGAGAGAGAGAGAGAGAGAGAGAGAGAGAGAGGACTCACCAGTCACCGCTGGAGTTCATTGGTTGCACCGGTTTTGTCTGAGAATGTTTTAACAAATCCCAAGCCCGACCCGTAAAATAATCGGACTCGGGCTTTTAGGCCCGAGGCCAAGCCCACAGGCTAAAATACATGCTCAAGCCCATCCCGGGGCCAGGCCGCCCCGTTGGGCTACCCGGCCCATGAACAGGTCTAATCCTAATCAACTAAAAATTTTAAATTTTGTATTAATCTATTTATCATTTTATTATTACTTCAATTTCGTTCGTTGATTGTAAGATACCAAAATTACATGAATTCCTTTCTAACTATTCACGGGATTGTAAGACACGGACACTTGAATTAAGGTACAATATTTGTTTGATAGCTCTTCGGTAAAGGTTTACGCTAAGAAAACAAGACAAAGGAAGGTCTTCCCTTGGGTGAGCAACCACAAGTTTAACAACTTTCCAATTTCCATACAAGATGAGCCACACATTGTCATGCCGGCCCGTTACATCTCCTCCGGTTCCGACTTCCGACCAATTAGCAGCGTAAGCTCAACCGGCAAAATCAAGGGCCAATATCTTGAGCAGACCCTCGTAAGGGATCCCGTCCTTTCCGTCTGTACCTGCCAATCTAATCATGGCCCGGATATCCTCATCAGTGACAGACAATCCAGCCCAGTTCATGTAACTCCTCAAATCATCGAACCCAACCTTCCCGTCCCCGTCTTTGTCCATAACCTTGAACGCATCGGTCATTACTCCATTCACGGGCCTGAAGCCACCCAGAACCCGCTCAAACTCCCCTAACTCCACGAACCCGTCTTTGTTCAAGTCCGCCACCGACATCATCGATCCGATGTCTTCGTCGCTGGTGATATTGGCGCCGGAGGAGAATCCCGCGTAGAATGTCCGGAGGTCGTCGGCGCTGATCTTTCCGTCTCGGTCTATGTCGAGAACATCAAATACCGGCTTGAGATCGGGCACCCTTGTGGTTGTGGTGGGTTCCCGACTCGGTATTCTTTCGGTTTCGGAAGGACACATCTTTAATCTAATGTTAATCGGTCAGGGTACGTGGTGATTTCGGGTAGCAGGAGACCTTATAACAATACCTTGTCTATAAAACCACAGAAAAATGGGGAGGAGCGAAGAGAAGCAGCGCGTATATATATAGATCAGAGAGAGAGAGAGGAAATCTCGGGGTGTCTTGGAGAATACGTTCAAGGTTCATCAGCAACAGGCTAAAATAATAATAATAAAAAAATAATCAATTGTTGAAAAAATTCTCGGGGGTTGATGCATAGAGGGTAGGTACGCGTATATAAATATAGACCAAGAGAGAGAGAGAAAATCTCGGGGTGTCTTGGAGAATACGTTCAAGGTTCATCAGCAACAGTCTAAAAAAAATAATAATAAAATAATCACTTGTTGAAAAAATTCACGGCAGTTGATGCATAGAGTGTAGGTATTTGACATTTTAAATATTTATAGATTTGCAGTGAGATTCAGAAATCTGTATTAAGTCTGTTATTACTTTTTCGTAAAAATAAATTGAAAATTTTGACATTTTTAAAACGGATTTCTTAAATAAATATTTATTCAGTTTTTGGATACTAAGTGTTCATTAGTGTGGTCTCAACCTAAAATAAATGGGTAATGACTTTTTTACTTTTTATTTGTTTTTTCAAAATTTCAAAATATATATCATGAAATTTTCAAAATCATGTGATCGAGGGTTGATGCTCTCTCTCATCTCACATCTCCAACTAATTAAAGTTAGTTGGTTTTTGGTCAAGCTTTTTCAACGTATAAGAATTTAGAGAGAACCCGAACCAAGTATAATTCTTGTCTGTTTTTTCTGCTACTCTGGCTGCTGTGAACCAAAGTCAGGGGGAACGAGGGAGAAACTTTGATATAGTATATGTTTGGCATCGATGCTGTAGGTGTTGATGATGTATGGGTTGGAAATACTGTTTTCTTAGAAAACAATGTCTTTTTTATTTTTATTTGGAATCGTTACTGCCAGGTAGGATGTTTCCTGGAGCAATAACAATCTTTTCTGTTTGGTATCAATGCTCCAAGAAGCATTTTCAGCACCGGTACCTATTATCCAGTGCCACGTCATGTCTCTATTGGCAGCAACGAGCTGCAGCTCCAAGAAATGCCAAATTCGGTATTACTCCAAACCATGCCTTCTTGATTTCCAAGGCATGACTTAAAACACTGTTTTTTATAGAAAAATGGTTTCAAACAAACGGATGTTTCTTGGAGCACCATTTTTTTTAACGTGGTGCTGATGTATCACCGTTTTCTAGAGCAACGACAATATGCCAAACAAACGCATAAATCTCTTCTTGCCATCTCTCCTTCATTTGTTAAGGTTTAATTTGAAAAGAGTACAAATACAAATTTGTAGAATATAAAATATTGTATTTTGTATTATTTTATATGTATTTGCACCATACATATTTGCATTTATACTCCTTCCAAACTGAGCGTAAATTGCATCTCTTCAATTTAACTTTGACAGAGTTTGAGTATATTATAGCAGAGTTTGAATTCTGATTACTTTTTGGGTAAAAATCAACAAGTTAAATGACAATATAAGTTGTAAGAAGAATATGTGAATAGATTAGTCCAAATAAGGAAAACAAAATTCCCAGCACCCAAAAGATCGGAAAATGTCATTATTTGTTTTCAATCGGGGGAACTGTGTCATACCAACAACAAAGTGATAAGAAAGCTATCCAAACAGAATTTAACCTTTCCCCGGAGTTCATGCTCCACGTTTGACAAAAGGACGTGCCTCCACCAGGATGAAACCCAATAGTGGAAAATGAAATTTAGAAAATCCCACCCAGGAAATCCAATAACCCATCCAATTTTCCCTAGCTCCTATTTCTCTAAGGAAAGAAAAGACACTTGTCAGCATTCTTCAGAAGATATGCTAGAAGATGAACTGCAGAATAAGAGGAAGGAAAGGGCAGAACGCGCAACGGCTTGAGCGCTAGCGCTTATCACGGTTCGGTTAACCGAATCAGGAACTGATGGGCATTTTTTTGAAACCAAATCGCTTCTACCGGTTTTCATATTTCTCGAACCGAAACCTAATGTATAAATAATATATACACACCGATTGGTTCGATTAACTGTTTGGCTATTTTATAAGCTAATCAAAAACCAAACTAATTCTTCGGTTTTTCAAATATGCCAAACCAATTCATTCAGTTAATGACATTTTTGGTATTGTTTTTTTTTTCAGTTTGGTTCAATTTTTCAATGAACAGCCCTAACTGCAAATACTATACGCGCTTAGGATGGAGATGATGACGTTCTCGGACAAATCCAAGCAAATCTTCAGTTTTATTCAGCAACTGTCAACTTTGAATTAGAAAACCCTAGATAGGACCATCAGATCAGACTTCAGAACAAAAATGAGACTAGAGATTACTTTCACAAATCTATTGGAGTAAAAAGAAGCTTCTAGAACAAAGTTGTGCAGGTCATAATAAAACAAACCGACCAATTGCGGCGTTCCGGTCAAAATCCCGCGGAAGTGGGAATTTTTTTGGTACAGACTACAGACTCTTATCTATTGCTCTGGCCTCAGGCCGCTGGTAGACCCATCAGCCATCTCTATTTCATTGTTCACACCGCAGAGAATCATTCAATCAACGCCATATGGTTCCAGAGGAAAGGGATATGAATAGGTCCAGCAAAATTCAGTTGACTACTCTGTCATTTTTTTAAGTTCGGTCAAATATGGAGTTCCAGCGTTATAGGGCTAAAAACAAGCATATTCCTGAATGCCTACTGTTTCTGATCTCTTGCATCAGTGTATATACGAGCAACTTAACCCCAACATCAAGACCTCTGATTTTTTGTTTTTGCCAAAATTTAAAATATAGGAAAAATATATAATATCACAAAGACAAATTAAATTGAGAGTTTTTTCAACAAAGACAATTGAATAAAGCACCTTGAAAGACGTAGATACGAAAAAGTCATCCGAAATCAGACAATCAAGTACAAATTTATAGTGTAACTTGTAACTCAGTGATTAAGTCGGTCAATAGTTCAACTGGGTCAAATGGGTTTTGACCAAATCAACAAATTTTTAATCATATCCCGAATTTTATAAAAACCAGACCCCCCCGAGGTGACAATATGAACAATTCAATCATCTGGGTAAAGGATGGCTTGAAAACATTGGTCTACTCTACTGATCTAATAGCAACATGAAAGTCAGAATTCGGGCTTATTTTTATCCTAAAATTATAAGACGTTTCTTGTTATTTAGAGTATAACCTCCAGTGATGCGAATGCGATTGGATCATAGTGAGGCGTAGTACTGGGGGCTCAAGACATAAACCTAAGAAAACCAAAATTTACAGAATGTAGTATATAAATAAAAGGGTTCAACTATGATATGGAAAATGTATCATATCTGAAAAACTTCTGACCAGTCGACTGAAATCATAAACCTGGTAGCCAATCAGGTGTAATTTATCAAAATTCATAGGTAGGTTTTTATTGATCAAAACTCTTCCCATACCATATCTTTTTCACATCATAGAGCTTTTATTGATCAAAAAGATATCATATCTAAAAAACTTATGATTAGTCAACTGGAATCATAAATCTGATAGCCAATCAGGTGTTATCTATCAAAATTCATAAGTGGGTTTTTATCGATCAAAACTCTTCCCATAACATATCTTTCCGCATCATAGAGCTTTCATTGAAAAAAAAAAGGGTTCAACTATGATATACTATGATATGAAAAAGATATCATATCGAAAAAACTTCTGACCAGTCAACTGGAATAGAGCTTTTATCCTTTTTTTATTATATATACTAGAAGACACCACGTGGAGACATGGGATCAAAGCCATGTGACCGTAAGCTCTCTATTGTAAGATCAGTGGACCTAATTTGCATTCTGCTGCTGACTCCTCCCTATCCAAAATATAGAAGAGTTGGGAGTTCAAAATTCAAATAGGCTTGAAAGTTGAAATGTAAGTTGTAAATATCACGTTCACGAATGGAAAAAAAAAATGAAAAGAAAATCTTGCAATTGGAAAATAAGGATTACAATTTACAAGCTTGAATAAAAATATCACGAAACTATAGATACTCGGACCGTCTCAACAAATACACAGAAAAGATTGTAGAATACAGGTCTCTTAAAAGTTCAAACTGGGCTAGCCTCCTTATCACCCAGAAACGAGAGGGAAAAAAATCTGCAGCAACTCTGCTTTGTCAGATTCCAATCTTGCAATTCATTGGTATCTTCAGTTGATTAAAAAATACGGTGTTCAGGGTTTCGATAAAAATCGAAGGTAGAATATATTAGGTTTTTAACAAGTTATTAGTGTTCCAGAGCACTTCGAACAGAGAGTGCAGAGTCTTGCACCAATCCTTTAGAAATAAGGTCATGATTTAAGAATAAAACAACAACAGTTATATCGTCATGGAAGTGGCGTCGAACCTTTTTGTCTATCCTCTGAAGATCTGAGAATCGCATCTCTCTTTTTCTAGCTGCTTCTTGCAGAGCAGCCTTTATAAGCCTTTTAGCACTTCCCTGCATTAATACAAAGCAATGTGAGGCCAAATGATGTTGATATATTCCATACTCCTGCGTACCAAGCAATCAACTGGTAATCCCGTGATATTATTTCAAATGTAAAAATTCAAAAAACGTAAAATAAGAAAAAAAACCCTGATAAACTACTGAACAGGTTAATGGTTCAACCAATAAATGCATTTTTGTAAATATAGTGGGTTAGTGGTTGACCCCACTGAGATTGTGGCTGGGTCGCCGGTCTGGCCAACCAGGTCAACGACAGGTTGAAAACAGTGGGTTTAAGCTGCAAATTTTTAAAACCTTAGCTTCTAAGTTTATCTTCCACAACATGTTAGCTGGGTCACATACACATAACAAGCATGTAGGTGAATGCTTGGTATGTGTGCAAGCGTGTATATATCCTACGCTACGCACATATTTGCAAAGAAAAGAAAATGACAGGGGGTGGCACAACACAAATGAACTCCCTGCGTTCCTCACTGCCCTATATTCAATAACCAAAATAAACAGTTTATTTTAGGGTATCTTTCACTTAAAATACTAAAAATTAGGATAGATGGTACAACTGAAGAGAAAACTCAACACAAAGAATGGCAAAAGGCTGATGTGGACTGAAAGTGAACATTTTTTTTCTGATTCAGAGCATCTCCTATCTGAAAGATAGTTCAAATCGACCACAGGATTACTTGACATGGCAAAATATGTGACATCATCATTCATCCAGTGAGATATAAACATAGTATTTAATAATCAGAACATATGAAAAACAGAACGTGGGCCTAGTTGGTATTCATTAATAATTATAAAGACCTTACTGGGACCTAGAGTTTCATGAAATCTCCCACAGGGAAACCTTATTGGGACCTAGAGTTTCATGAAATCACCCACAGGGAATCAGGTAGCCAGAAAGTTGAAGGAATGCAACTGCTGATGAACGCAAGAGTAGGAACAGCAACTAAAATAATTGTAAATTTGCACTAATTCAAATTCAAGATTCATTGACATTATTTTCTCATGGTAAGTAATCTTGTTCAAAGTTGGTGAAAATCTTGGTTGACAAGGCCAACAATATTAGGGTTATTTATGGTCCAGACCAACTCAGCAGACTTAACCTCACCCTATTATACAGGCTGGGTCACATTTTGAGTCCCAATTATGATAGGGTCATTTGGAAACCATATTCATTCAAGATCAAATATGTATAAATTTAGAAAACAATAACACTTCCATACAAACAACAGACCATGATAAGGATGACAAAAAAGGTAAAATTCTTATCAATCAAAAAAAGAAAGGTAAAATTCTTACTGCATGTTGATGATTGTGGACAATATCCACAGCCTTTTCATTGCTCAAGTGTTCCCAAAGGCCATCAGATGCAAATATTATGAAAGAATCATTTGGTTGGAGAGGAAGAGAGACAACAGAAGGATTGGCAGTCAAGATGGGCATATCCATTGGTTCAGACAGCCTGAATTTCCCATTGAGAGGTTCCCTGTTGTACTGGGCATGTTTCATATATACATCACCTATAGATCTGGAAACCTGTGCATCCAATACAGTAATTACATGGATGGAACAAATCTTACAATTCAGAAAGGACCAAGATAATGAAAACTGTGAAAAGAATTGAAGGGTGAAAAAAAGTCTACAGAAATATTTTTTTCCTAAATATGGATCCATGTAAAGGAACCTCAGAAAAGCTAATCACAATATCCTTTCAGATTTTTCATTAGTTAATTTCATCGAGTATATTTTAGAAGTTCACTTAAAAATTTCTCTTTTCCCGGTATAGAAGAGTAAATTATATATATTGTTATAGTAAGCATAAATTATTTTTTCTTAACATGCAATGATAAGAAGTGACATACATAAATATATACCAAAACATAGATAATATATTCTTCGACAGCAATAACAATGATCTATTTCTGATTTTCTTTAACTAACAATAATCAATTAATAAAGTTTTGAGGGACTATTCATATTAGAAGTTAATAACTAATAATCATTAGCAATATAAGAAGAAAAAAAATCACAAAATAACTTTCAAAATCAAACCCTTCGCTCCTTTCAGATGTGTTCTTACTTCTGATACCTTTTGCATGAATGCTAACGTTTCGGTGACTTCAACTCAGAGCACCATTAAGATTCTACAAGAGGTGTCATGCCAAGTGCCATGCATTAGCATGGTGTCCAAGGGTCTACAAGGGTAGACTCATTAGTTTTAGGTTCCTAGTAACACTCGTAAGAAAATCTATCCTAGATTCAAACATGGGGTTGCAAAGCTGCAGAAATGAAATTAGTTAACTGCAGCTTTTTTTTTCCGGAAAAGGTAAAGTAATATCTATTGAGAAGGAATACCACACAGGAGGCTGAGATCAGTCCCAGAACAGGCTGACTGATCTAATCAGCAATTACACAAACCATCAAGAGAAAGAAAATAATACATCTGACACATTACAGTATCTAAAATCTGCAGCCACAGACAACCAAGAAATCAGCTTGCCCACTGACTTCTGAATTAAGTTTTCCAGACTTAGAAACTTATTAGTGAAAACCCTTCTATTCCTCTTGGTCCAGATGCACCAAATTACAGCAATTGGAATCATCTTCCAGATAGTCTTCTTTTTCTTGCTCAGACCCATAATCTTCCAGCAACACAACAGCTCTTTTACTGACCTTGGCATCACCCAACAAACCTTCAAAGAGTCGAGGAAATGGTTCCACAACTGAGCAGAAACCGGACAGTGGATGCACAAATGATCAGTAGATTCAGCACTGTTCCCACATAAACTGCAAGTCAAGTCCAAAACCTGAATTCCCCTTCTCATAAGGTTCTCCTTAGAAAGACATTTATTAAGAGCCATAGTCCAAACTAGGAAGCTGGCTTTAGTCGGGCTGTTGGGATTCCACACTTGCTGAACTGGGAAATCAGGGGCACCCCTCCTACCAAGAATAGCAACCAAAGATTTAACAGAAAACATCCCATCAGAATTCCACGTCCAATGCCACTTATCCTCCGAACTATAATCCAACTCTTGGCTTTGAAGACAGGTCAAGAGATTCACAACCTCTACCACCTCCAAATAAAAAAGATTCCTTCGAAATGAGGGAGTCCAAAGAACTGAACCACCGGAAATACTATAACACTCTGCAACTGAGGCCTCTTGATCTGAAAGCACACAGGAAGAGGAGTGGAAAGGACTCAGCAAGAGGATCATTTGAGCACCAAGGGTCCTTCCAGAATTTGGTCCTATTACCATTACCAACCCTAACTAAGACCCCCGTAGCCAGAGCTGAAAAGTTCTTCATTATCCCTTTCCACAGAGAGTTACCCCAGTTGGGGGGAGGGTCCCTAGTTCTCCAATTGCCCCAACTCACACCATATTTGCCGGCAATGAGAGATCTCCACCAAGCATCAGTTTCTACAACAAATCTCCAAATCCATTTACAAAAGAAAGCAGAATTAAAAGAATTCAGCTTCCTAGTACCTAACCCCCCTTCAATTTTGGGAAGACAAACTTGCTCCCAACTCACCAGGTGCACTTTTTTCTCTTCCTCCTAGCCTCTCCAAAGAAAACTCCTTTGAAGCTTTTCAATTTGATTTGCAACCTTCTTAGGAATATGGAATAGACATAGGAAGTAGGTAGGCAAATTGGAGAGAGTACTCTTAATCAGAGTCACCCTCCCCCCAAATGAGAGGTATTTTGCTTTCCAAGAAGCCAGCTTCCTTTCCAATCTCTCAATAACTGGGTCCCAAATTGCAGAGGAACCACCACTCACCCCTAGCGGGAGTCCCAAATATTTGACTGGAAGGGACTCAATCTGACAAGCCAAAATACCAGCACACTCTGCTAAATTGGAAACATGGCCAACTGGGATGATTTGGCTCTTGTTCCAGTTTACTTTTAGACTTGTTATCACTTCAAACCAAGGCAGAATCCCAAGGACTAACTCCACCTGAGAGGGGGAGGCATCTACAAAGCACAATGTATCATTTGCAAATTGAAGAATATTCACCTTCTCTCCCCCCGGCACAATTTAAAAACCTTCCCACTCACCTGAAACTGCAGCCTTCTTACAGAAAAAAGTGAGGATCTCCATTACACATATAAATAGAAGAGGAGATAGAGGGTCTCCCTATCTAAGACCCCTGGAACTATCAAAGAAACCTGCGAACTGTCCATTTACCAAGACTGAGAACTTTGGAGTAATGATATAGACTTTAATCCAATTCTTCCATTTCTGCCCAAAATTCATCTGATGAAGCACTAGGTCCACACATCTTTAGTTAACATGATCATAGGCCTTTTCAATATCAAGTTTACAGATCAACCTTGGAGAACCTTCTTTTTTCTTGGTGCGAATGAGCTCATTGGCAATAAGAACAAAATCCAGCATCTGCCTCTCCAGAATGGAAGTACTTTGGTTATTTGAGATAACACTACCAAGGACTGCTTTCAATCTCTCAGCAAGCACTTTAACTAGAATTTTGTAGAAACTATGCAGAAGACTAATCGGCCTGAAATCCTTAATATTCATTGCACCTTCAATCTTTGGAATGAGGGTAATGAAGGTAGTGTTCAGGATGTCTTGTCTCACCACATCCCAGCATTTAATATAGAAGAGATTTGTAAGACCATCAGGCCCTGGAGACTTCTCATCAGCCAACAACTTGATAGCTTCTTTTATTTCCTCCTCAGAGAAAGGTCTCTCAATAAGCGAAGACTGCTCATCACTCAACTGGTTAAAAGAAAGGGATCTAGGAAAAGGTCTGAAGGACCAAGGCTCCTTATACAGCTTCTTGTAAAAGCTAGATGCCACAAGCTTCATATCAGTCTCAGTGAGACTTACCCTGCCCTCTCCCTCTAGTCTGGTAATTATAGAAGCTCTAGCTCTGGCATTTTCCATTTTGTGAAAAAAATGTGTATTCCTATCCCCCTCTTTCAGCCAAGCCATTTTAGCTCTTTACCTCCATTTAATTTCTTCCGCCACTGCTAATTTGTCAAACTTTAACTTAGCTTGAGATCTTTTTAATCAGAGCTCCTCAGAAATAGGGCCTAATTTTTCAGTCGTGTCAATTTCCTTTATGGTACTCAGGAGAGCCTTCTTCTTAGTATCTAAACTCAAAATTTTCTCCAATTTCCAAATCTTTAGTCTTTCTTTAATGGCCCCCAATTTCTTTGCCAAGACGAATGAACTGGTACCCCCATCTGCAGGTCCTCCCAAACAGACTTCAACAAAGGAACATGAGTAGCACCCTCAAACCAAGCATTCTCTAGTTTAAAAGGAACTTTTGCTCTCTCTCTGACACCGCAAACCAGCTGGGTTGGGATATGGTTTGACACTGGCCTAGGAAGGGCAATCTGCTTAAACTCTAGGATGATATCTTCCCAATTAGAAGTAACCAGAAACTTGTCCAGCCTCACTAGGGTAGGAAGATCTTGGTTGTTGGTCCAAGTAAACCTGTTACCATGAAGGGGTAAGTCTTGAAGTTCAAATCTATTGATAAAATCAGCAAACTGCACCATATCCCTCGATCTTCTCCCACCTGAGCTTCTCTCATCCGCAGACAAAGTGACATTAAAATCCCCACCAATGACCCAAGGAAAAGTAAAACTTCCCCTAGCCACAACCAATTCCTCCCAAAACTCTTCCCTCCGACTTCGGTCATTAGGACCATACACATTAGTAATTTGACAAACATTACCATCTACAAATTAATTTGACAAACATTAATTGAAAAATTTCCAATCTGATATGAAATCAAATTGCAAGCTGTCAGGTCCCACATGCTCAACAACCCCCCTCCTGCACTACCGACTGCTGACTTTGATCTCCACCTAAC